TACCCCACAGATATCTCAAGAATGCATCAACATTATCCTCATTTCTTTGCATGGATTTGCCATTCCTTCACTTTAGTCCAGACCTCTCTTCTGGGCTGCCAGTTAATAAAAACCACATGAGATTACTATGTAATCTCCAAGTACCAGAATCAATGCCATCGGAATTACTCAAACCCGATCAAAACGTTTGCAGCAAGCCACTTTGTCCCTATCAAGGGGATCGAGCTGCATCAGTGGCCTGGGCTTCAGCCCAGGTAAGCACAGCTGAAATCTGGAGCCAAAAGAACCAGCTGTAGAGGCCATTAGACCAATTCCTGAGCATGCTGACCATTTATTGATTGTAAAGCACGTAAGGACGCTAAGCGTTATACAACAGTTAAAACAACAACAACCCAAGCTGTTCCATAAGTTCACATTCTTAACTTGTTAGTCTTACTCTAGAAGGACAGGGAAGTCTGAAACAAGATTCATTCCAATAGTAAATGAGGAAGGGTGAAAGCAAACTGAAACAAAGACGGAAACAGGAATGAGAGTGTGGAGAGTGTGATGCTGTGTGCAGGAAACTACCTTGGGGGGTACATCTGTGCCAAATGTAATGTATTTTAAGTAAAACATGCCCCATGAGCTTACTGACCCATATATGCATTTCTTCCTTTCCAACTGGGAACTAATTATGTTTAGCGTTTCAGCAGCAGCTACAACAGATGGCACCAAACCACAGTTTGAAACAGCAAAGTGGAAGTCTATCTGTGGTTTGATGATAGCTGTGGTCGATGGAAAAACTGGTGTCTCATGCAGAGTCTGGAGGTGGGACAGAAACAACCCAATATATTTTTTTTAGTGGGACAAAAGTGCTTACATGTGTTCTGATCTTGCACTGCTATGAGGCCATGTATGTGAGTAGGAACCCAACCAAACAGATAGATGGCACGGTTACATCCTATACTAACTCCATAAAATCACAGGAAGGGATGATGCTAGTACAGGAAGCTAGCTACATAATTTTTCATTTCCTAAAAGATTCATGAAGTGCAGTTTGAACGGGTTGCATTTCTGTACTTGAAGGCAAAGGCATGGATTTGTGCTGCACACAAAAAGACAATGAGCTCTCGTTGTTGCTTTTGCTTTTAAAACCTGCAAGTTTCTGTCCCTTATGACAGTGTGCATGCAATTCCTTGCACAATTTTCAAAGAGGGGAAGCTAAATGAAATTTCTACAGGTGATGGGGGAGGGCATCAATGTCAGGCAACAGAAGCCGTATTTCACAATAATGCAATTGCTTAATCTGTATTATGATTAAACGTGAATGAATGCAATCGCTTAATTTGTATTCTTATTATTTTTTTACAGACTGTGGTTTCAAAGAGTTCACCTTAAAATACCCAACACGGCCCCGCGGGTGTAATTATCTTCTTTCCCTTGGGGGAAAACTGTACTTCGGAAAGTGGCAGAGTCAATCATTAAATCTACCCAAACCTCTCTTTCTGCTTTTGCTATCTTATCCATCTACTTCTGGCTTGAAGCCAGCAACTGTCTTTGATGGCAGCAGGTTGATAAGAGGTAACTGCTTCATTCTGATAAGATCTAGGTACAACATCTATAATTACACACCTTCCACCCCACATTCCCAACATTCTGTTGTACTTTACAGTAAACTGGAAATACAAGTCAGGATGAGGCCGCGCAGATGACTGTCTGCAGGTGGGGTCACAAAGGACAAGGAAGGGGTTTCAGGACTGATCTTGTGGAACCAAAGAGCGCAGTCATTAGGCAATGCTTTCCAAAGAGTGCTGCAGCTGGGGATAAGGAAACAGAGGGAGCGAGCCCTGCTCAGTGCTCTTGGCAGTGAGCGTCCTGACGGTCTTCCTCAACACGAGAGGAAGCGTTTAGGCTCTCCTGCTATACACATCCTGCCCAAGGGAATGGCTGGGCTAGCACTTGGCTAGCACTGATAAGCAGCCTGAAAGAACACTGTTGTAAGGGGGAACCTAGCCATTTTCTCCCTGATGTGGACCCACGGCAGCTAACATCATTCTATTAACAACCCTATGAGGTATGTCAGGTTAAATGTGTGTGACTGGCCCAATGTTACCCATTGTGTTTCCACAGCAGAGGGGGAATCCACCCTGGGTCTCCCGGATCCTAGTCTGAAATTCTAACCACCATACCACACTGATTTTAATGGGATGGCTGCTAGGTGAATCATGCAAGTCAGGTGGTAGCAAGTTGCCTAGTAGTTTGTTGCTGGGCCTGGCTCCATGAATCTTCCCTCAAAGGCCAAAACAGCCCTGGAAAGGGCTCTGGTCCCCCCCCCTCCCCTTGCCTTTTATTGACAAACCAAGGCTTCAACTGGCAATAGTGTTATGGTTGGCTAGCAATGGCCACATAGGGCGTTTGTTTCTTGCAAATCTGGGGCTTTTCTCAGGTTTGTTCAAAGATCTGTCTTGTCTGTTCACTGCTCCAATCTCTGGATTTAAATATCCACAGAGTTGGCCACAATGAGAGTTAGATATACTGATGATTCAGTTAGACTTGGTTCTCAAGGTTAGGCTGTTATTGAACACAACAACAAAAAACTAAAGATGGTTACACAGAAAAACACAAACACAAGTTCACATTCAGTTTTACAAGACATTTTATTGATTCAAGTGTGCCACACAGCTGAAAAGGCCAGATCTGCAAGCCAATGGGGTGTCAAGTACACCCCCTTATATATGAATGAAAGCCATTTACTCTTCTGCTTGTGAAAACCAGTTATGTGGTTCTTCTGAATTGGGAAACTTTCTGGAAATTTTCCCTATTCAAATTTAAGTGTATAATTTCAATGTTAGCAAAAGGAGGCAAATACACTGTGTACAAGCCTGGACCACATACAAGCACTCGGGTTTGTCCAGGCTTCCTATGCCACATTTAGCCCATGTAATGTGATTGATTTGCTGCTAAACAACTGTGACAACTATAGATAAACAGACTGTATTTACGTATGTGGGGAGGAAATTTTTCAACAGAAAAACATAGCATTGGAACATTTTCCACCCACATCACTGGTGAGAAAACTATTCCTACACTGTTCCTTTTCCCTGCTAGCAAATAGCCCACTAACACTAGTTTGGCGGCAGGGGGGGGGGGGGGGAGCGTCTTACGACCTGCCACAAACATCAGCCAATGCTCCACCATATCAATTCCTCATAACAACAAGTATTTTTCTAAGAAGGTCAACTGCCTCAGTATGACCCAACAAATCAGACCCGAATGCTCAAAGCAGCAAAGTGCCTTGTTAATACCATAAATTTGACCTAGAAATAGCATGATCTGATATGTGCTTTTCTGACTCACAGCTTGCTATTTATTAGACTTTACAAGTTAATTCTTTTCAAACTGTATGGCTGAATCCATTAAATCTAGAAGCCAGTGTGATGCAGCAGATAAACTGTCACTCCAGCCCTGAAGAGACCTATCTTCAATTCATCCATGAAGTTAACTGAGTGATCCTGAGACAGACAAAACTCCTACCTCCTTTTTGAGGAGATACAGATTGTACTTCACTGCACAGCTGAAATTATGTCTCTGTCCCTTCTCCTTCCTTTATGAAAGGTAAAATCCTTCTATCCTTGTAAAGCATTTTAGCCACTACTGATATATTCAATCCAATCCACGGCATATTCAATCCACGGCATATTCAATCAGATCCTAAGGCAGAAGCAGACACATTAGGGCCCAGGAGCCTGTGGGAGCCTTCTCTCCAGCTCTCGGACTGCTTAATAATTTGCTGGGAGCATCATCAGTCTGCTGGGCTGCAGGACTTGCTAGCTGGCTGATGCTCCTCCGAAAACTGTTAAATCACTTGAGGGCCATCAACAGCAACAGAGTAGGAGAGAGGGCCTCATTTGGTATCTGCCCTCTAAAGCAGGTGGAGACCCTCAGGCCCATCCTCGTTTTAAGGTGATACTAGCTGTGGAATAACATGGGTAATACCACAAGCGTGCTTGATTAGTAAGGCTTATGACCACACCGCCACTTCTCTCTGTTCAACTGAAACCCAGGCGTGAACTGAGATTTCACTGCCAAGGCAAAACCCAAAGAGTTTTGATTCCATAAGAGTCCCACAAAGCAAAACTGAGCGGGTGACTTCATCCCTTCCAACTCCGCCATATCTAAAATCTTGTAGGACTGCCCTGCAAGGTGCCAGCTTGTGTCACACCCCACCATGGGAACTGAGAAGCTGCTGGAGGAGAGGAGGACCTGCTCCACCGCATTCTTCTGCGATAGCAGGGCCAGAAAGCAAAACCGAGGCAGAGCCACCTGATGCAGACTGACACGCTTTGCAAGTGGGGCTGACGCAGGTGGCTGGCTTACCTACAGCTGGCCAACAACGGTTCTTTTTAAATACTCCTTTATAACCAGGGGACTAACATTGAAAAGAGCACAAGATATCCTGCAAATTTGTGCAAAAGAAGACAAGCGCATTGCAAGATATATGCTGTATATACCTCTGCTCATTACTGGAGAACACCATTAACCTGCATTCATCGAAGTGTACCATCACAACAAACTGGTCCCGGACTTTCCTGTCAATTACAGCACAGCAATATAAAAGCATGTAGCAAAAGCACCGTTAACGTAAAGTACAAGTCTTCCCTTCACCTCACCTGGACACAGAACGGATTTGCAAACCGAGGAAGCCCTCGGTTAAGTATTCACCGAGACACGGCCCTGTCGCGCAAAACGCCTCAAGTTGCAAGTCGGCAATTCAAACATTCTTATTCCACAGCGGCCCATTTCTTTTTTTAAAAAAATCCCTTCCTCTCCATCCCAGCCTTACTGCACAAAAGGAGTCCGAGATAGAACCTTCCTCCAAGAGGTTGACCCCCGCGTTCCGCTCCCAGGGGCTTCAGCCTGCGCCGCACACTCGCCGCCCGCGGGGCGGAGACCCAGCCAGAGACCCCAGGCCCCTCGGCGTCAAGCGTGGCCCACCGCAGCCCCCGCCCCAATAGACAAACCTGAGGCCGGACACAAAGGAGGCTTCCCGGCCCCGCCTCCGGGCCGCGCAGGAAACTCCCGGTTGCTGCGCCCGGACCATCGCGCCAGCGATCCCGCGCCACCAGCCGCCCGCCCGCCAGGAAACAGGGCCGGGGACGGCCAAAGAGACTCCGCCGGCGGCCGCTCCCACTGGCGGCTTCCGCGGGAGAGCCTCGCCAGCGCCTCCCCCAGAGCGGCTTCAGCAAGACCGGGATGTCGCTGCTGCTGCTGCTGCTGCACCACGGCCGGCCAAGGCAACCCCCAA